CGGTCGTAAGTCGAGGACTACCCAACCGGTCGTAAGTCGAGGACTTTCCCTGCCCGGGAGCGCCGCGCATGCGTGGTTCTGCGCCGGCCGAGGCGTAGCTGGCAAGCGGCAGAGACGGAGCAGGCCGACCACCAGCTGGCCCAGCCCAAGGGAGGTAAGGCACCCGCCGGAAAAGGGAAAAAAATGGACAAAAAAATGGCGGACAAAAAAAATGGCGGACAGCCTTGCTTGGCGACCCCCATGAAATGGTTGATCGGCCCCAAATGGGGTCCCGACCCACAGGTTGAGAACCACTGATTTAACGGCTGCCGCGATTTGCTTAATAAAACCGCGGCACAAAAAGTCGTGAAATTGGCCGTGAGTCGTGTAACGACTGGCTTGCTTAAGCCATGGAAATTCTGGTCTCAGTTATGATTGTAGGTCTAGGACGGGCGGACCGTACATTTTGATTTGGGGGTGTTGTTTTTTTTTAAACAAACAGCCCATCTCCTCCCCAAACCTAGTAATTCTAGGTTTGCAAGTTGCAATTTTTTCCCAGCACTTTGTTTCAAGATTCAGGAAACTTTTCTCGTAATTGCAGGGTTTCTATCTTTTATTTCAGTCCAGCTGCTGTAAGATAACTGGTTTTTTAACCACTGCCACAGCAGAACAGGGGTACTGTAATATTCTGTTGCAGAAAAGCATTACCACAATTCTATGAAATGCCTTGTTTTTTAGAGACTTGTGAAGCTCATTTAGGTCGAAGCTGGGCTTGTAAATGGCTTTACCTTGTTGTTTTTAATAGGTACAGACTTATTATCATTCCAAGCTTTGTTTTTATGATGCTCTTCTCCCAACCCACCACCCACCCACCTTTAGATGCCAGGTCTATTTTTACTTAGAGGTGTGTTGTGCATCTTAAGAGATGCATCTTATCACAGAATTTCTCCCTTTAAGCTTAAAACCCTGGGCTAGGATTATTTTGTTGTTAAGCCACTGCAGGAAGCACCCGGTCTGTTTTATTAATGACATATTATAATTAATTACAGTCCTGGGTCTTGTTGTCTGTCATTTTCAGACACGTCTCCATCCTGTTTTTTTCTAAATAATTCAGGAAGGCTGTCAGAGAACTCTAAAATTAAGAATTAAAGCAGCTGTCTCTCGGGATACATTTTGATTTGGAGTCTTGCAACCGAGCAGATGGCTTCAATAACTCCTAGGATTCTGTCTGCAAAATTAAAGCAGCTCCGTTATTAGTGGCTGGGTCAGCTGGTATTTCGCAAGTGAAGGATTCATACCTGTGCATTTCATAAAATAACTGCCTTAAAAAGCTCTCTCCGCCCAAACGGGCCGATGATTTATCGCAGGGCCTTCGAAACGCATGAATTATGCAGACTCCCCACCACACACAACGAACGCAAGGTGATTATTCCGTAAACTGCTGAGCTGTTTTAAATCGGGATTCCTGCAACGCGTGTTCTGGTATTGATCCAATAACGAAATGCTTGCAAAATCGTAGAGATTTTATTCACCCCAGCCTTCGACAGCAATCGGGAGGTTTCCATTTGCACGACTTTCTGAAACGTCCTTTGGGGGGTGGGTGCACTTTTTTTGAGGGGGGGGGAGTTGGTTTGGGCAGCCTTTTTAACATTTAAAAATGCCGTTTAAGTTAGTTTTTGGAATACGCAAGGAGCGTTTCCCGTTTTGTGTCCATTTCCCATTCATAAGTATGAACCAGTTGCCAAGCAGCTGAATTTTGATCGCAGGACCATGGGGATGCTACGAAGGCCGCAACTCTGAAAAACGGCCCTAAGTCGCTTTTTTAAGTGCCTTTGTAACTTTGAGTGGCCACTAAATGAACTGTTGTAAGGACTACCTGTATCAAGAAATAATGTCTAAATGCTCCGTCAATGAGATGTCTGTGGTGCACTCTTGGTTGTTGTTTTCTGCAGCCATTTCATGACCCAAATTAGGCAACATCAGAGCTGGATAGCAAACTAGGTAACATCGCTAGCACTGATGATGTTACCTAGTTAGGATGATGAAATGTCTGCAAGAAAACCACCAAGCTCAGAGAGAACCAAGGACCCCATAGTCTTTCCTTTCCTTTCCTTTCCTTTCCTTTCCTTTCCTTTCCTTTCCTTTCCTTTCCT